TAGAAATTAGGAGAATGTATTAATGTAGTTTTGATTTTTGATTCCTTTTTTTTGGGTAAAAACAAATCCCAGTTTTACCATTGAGAAATTGAAACACATTTGTTAAGCCAAAAAGTTATAAAATATTAACTTTTATTCAAAATATCTCAACAACATATATTTTTTGTAAATAATGACCTTACATGAAATTAAACAAGTAATAATATTCTTAGTTGCATTGGAATTTTTGAATAATTTTATAGAGTTGGTTGTTCGATTGTTAGGTTGTTGGTTGTTTATAGAGTTGGTTTTTATAGAGTCGGTTGTTCTTAGTTGTTCAGAAATTACTTTATTTTCCCATGATAGATGAACGATGAGGTGCTTTCGCAATCATTGCATATAAGAAAAAGTTATTGGTAATTGTTGCAATTTCAACTACAAGCGGAAAAATGTAGGTAGAGAAACTGTCTTCTTCAGGTTTCAAAAAGGAAACATTTTCGTGCTTACAAAGAGCTCTAAATACTAACAACAGATCTATTACAGCGTCACCAATTACAATCGTGTTGTTATTTGTTGGATTTCAGGACAAAGCTGTATTCATGAACGGAGTTTCTGAGTTTTCCTTCATTTGTTTGAATGGACTTCCTGCTGATAAAAATATTGTAAACAGTATTACTAAATTGAACTTATGATAAATTGCAAAATGAACTACAAAAATACATACAATGGACAGAGAAACGAAAACTATGGTTTCCAAGAAATATACCAGTTAAATACCTAGGAATCTCTTCTAAAACAACATTAACGTGGAATGACTATATAAAAACAATAGCAGGTAAAACATTTATTGAAATGTCGAAACAATATGGAATGCGGAACATTACAACACAAGTCTATACAGAAAATATTATCTACCCCTAAACATAAAAACAAAATATCAAACTAAAACAAAAAATTTCGCTATTTGACCCTTTTCAGCACTATATGATTGGACTGGCTTTGACTAGGCCGTTGGATGGGTGACGGAAATAAGAGTGCGCACGTAAGAACGTTATGCAAGCACTATGACAAACGAAAAGAAAGATTTCCTAACGTTAGAAGGCAAGTAGAATGAAAGTTCTGAGGGTATATCGCAACAGATCGTTATCCAGGTAATGCAGTTGACCGTATGTTCTTTACCTATTGCATTCCTTCTCTACATCACTCGACAACTTTAACCGTTCACCATAATATCAAGATTTTATTAAAAGCTTCTTGAATGGTTTAAGTATTTTTGGATGTTAGTAAATGCTCAAGTATTATTCATCACTAAATTATAAAATAGAGTTTTAATAATACATTAATAATTAATTAAAAATATTTTTAACAAAAAATATTCGTGTAATTATCAAATCCTTAAAACATTTGCACTGGTTATGATGTAGGGTCGGTAGGAATTTCTATTTTAGAACGAAAACAATCTATAAGTAGAGAACTAGCTTGAATGCAGGATTATGGAGTTATATATGTTGTCAGAATTTATGTAAACCAGTCACAGTCAAGTGAGGGCCAGATATCAAATGATAAGAGACAAGAGAGAGAAATGAACAGTGAACGGAATAACTAAATATTCTAACACTGCACTTACCTTCAGGGGAAAAACACCATTGGAAAAGATCATCAGTCCGAATATAACTGCACGAAATTCAACGTCAGTGTTATCTAATAATAAGACAAAATGGAACAAATGCCGTGGAAACATAAGTTACAAACTCTCTGCAAACAAACCACAAAAAATATGAAAATATCGAGAGTGTAATACATTTCACTCAAGCGACATTTCATAAAGCACTGCTTCGAGTGCAAAACCGAGTATGCTACCAAATATTCAGTACATGCCGAAGAAATAAGAAAAGAAGGGGGAAAGGTCGCTTTCGGAAAAACCTTAATGGATAGGAATGATGAAAGAAAATTTAATGCTGCAGAAATACTGATAAAACGACAATTGAAGTACATACATCTGTATGTCAGAGCAGTTCATAATTGGTACCTATCTCTACCGCTTGTTATTCACTGTGGAAAGAAACTAAAAATTAAAACATGAAAGTACATCTCATTAAATGGAAAAAATGATGGGCGTGGACATGTAGCCCAGATGAAAAGGCCGAACGTCTGCTAAGACTGTAACATCAGTTTTTAGACGGACAGAAAACCGAAGCACTTCAGAAAATGAAGTGTTGGTATTTCTTGGAATAGCACTATATACCACCCTCATAATATTTTTCAACATTCAAGAGGGAGAAGAAACAATTAAAAACTCATGTATTCTTGAGATGCCTAGATCTTTCAATAGGAAGAGGTATGCAAGAAACGTCAAAGAACGAATTCGCTTTCCGCTTTGTAGAAGAACTTTGTATATTTAATGAAACTGTAATAAGTTATCACCACAGGACTAAAAGTGAGTTACGAAAACTTGCACCAAAGTACCAGGTTACGTGGAGAGTTTGTTGATGGAGTATGGTGGTATGACTGGTTAGAGACTCTGGCATGTTTACTACTCGTGCTTTGAAGTATTCATACATCTTGGTCAATCGCCATTATTTTCTTGCGATATACACGAACGTGTCTCGTGCGTCGTGTATTTTCTAACTTTCGATCTTTCTTTAAGACAAACTTCTCTAAAGTTGGTTTGCAAACATGAAAATTCAACTTTATACGATACACTTAAAACAGATAATGGCAGTGAATTATTAATTTTCATTTTTTCCATTAGATTTCTTTTATTTTGAATGATATAATGAGAAAACTTGCCTTCCAAATATTATGTTACATCTTCAAGTTTTAACAAAATGTCCGCTGTATTTACATTTATTTCCGTGAAACTTCATTAAATATTTCCTAAAATATTGAAATTATTACTCTATAAAACAAGTTCATAGCAACTAATTTTAATTGGCAAGAGGTTTTGTAACGCAGATTGTTCGTGTTCTTTGCGAAGTCTTTTAGATTGTTGAAACCAGGTTACAGGATTCATTCAAGTGTAAAGAACAGCGTATTCCAGTACGAACGAGGGCATTAAGTGCTAACGTCTAGTGGTCCTGTAATTAAAACTGATTTAGTTAATTAAGAGTCAAATTGCCCCACCGAACATTACCCGCCTAGGTTCATCTGAATATCAAGTGAATGAATTCAGAATTAGACTTATGATGTTACGTTTATTTTTCAGATAACCGAATACTCGGAAAGCAAACGCGACGACAAAATACGACCCTACATTGCGCAACATGCAGTCCCATTATAGTAGATGAAGCTGACCACCGCAGCCACGGGGCGCTGCAGGAGTTTCCTTAAGGTTGCGCGAGCGAGGCGAAGCGAGGCGAGGCGAGGCGAGGCGAGGCGAGGCCGAGCGCGGTTGAAGGAAAGCGCTGCCACTGCGTCCGGGGGCGCGGCACACGGAGCAATGCCTCCGCGAGGCGACGCGCGGGCGGCGGGCGGGGCGGGGGGCGAGAGCTGCGGTGGTCGGAAAGAGTGAGGCGGAGGGGGAGGGGGGGCGACGGGGGTGCCGCCCGATTTAGCCAGCGGGGCCTCCGGGAGCGCGGTAACAAGCTTAACTGGCAGGGAAAATCGTTTTTACGCGACGCCGGGCCGTGGGTCGGAACTAACCGTCAAAGGCCTCACCGCGCTAACGCGGCTTAACACGGCCCGGATGGGCGCGGGGAGGGCGCGGCAGCGTGCGGAGCGGGCGTGTGCGGGCGGAGGCGGGCGGGGAGGCGAGTGCGGGGGCGGGGGCGGGGTGAAGCAGAGTGGAACGGGGTGATGCGGGTGGAGCTGACGCGCTACCGCAGGGGCGTGAGGATCGGGAGGAGAAGGCCGTGAATTAGAGCGGGCGCGGGCGTGAGTGGACGGGAGCGAAGACACCGTAAGCAAACGCCACGCGAAAGCAAACGTACGGGAAGAGAGCGCAGGATAACGGTTTCGGGAGTGTTGGGAAATGTGCGGTTGAAAGCGGAGATGGGGTTCGTGTGAGGGAAGGGGTTGGGCGGGCTAGACGAGCGGGTGTACTCGTACGGACAAGTGCAAACATGGAGGCCGGAGCAGAGGTGGCGTCGGGGGAGGCGGCTCTGTGAGGGGGCGGGGCGGGCGGCGGGGGCGGGGGGGGGGCGGTCGGGGGCGATTTGAAGGCATAGGCTGCGGGCGCTCTGTGCTGGGCTCCCAACAGTCCTCCCTCAGGCGGAAGGCTTTGTTCTACTAGGGTTCATTACGGGATTTCTATGTTGGTCACTGTGTCAGATTATGACGGATTTATTTGCATTCCCTTCAAGAGATAGGTTTCTGAAACACAAGTCGGAATTCCTCGAATGCTCTATTCTCTAACTAATATGAATTAACGTACATTCCTTACGATTATAAAGATAGTCAGGGAAGCCATTTTATCTAAGATGTACTGGTTAAATCAAATTTTATTGTAAGAATTATTCATATTTTTAAATCAAATTAAAATGACTGATAAACATTTTGGAAAAATAAAACAACTGACTCATCTGCACATTCAGAATATTTTGAATAAAATGCGAATTAATATTTGCAATCATAATTACCTTTGAAAATATTTGAGGAAAAAGTTAAATAAAAATAGCGTTTATAAGACGTAATGGTGAAATAAAACGTGTAGTCATAATTTTGCTGAGTATCGAAAAAAGTTGATTAACTGCTGAAATAGCTCTATTAAAAGAATCTGCAATGGAATTATCTCCACACCCATATTATCCAGTTTAAAAATAGCGGAAAAAAGGGAAGCCATGTTAGAAACGAATTGATAGAAGTGCGAACGCCAATGTAACCACTTTTCTCTACAAGACAAAATTTGGCAAAAAAGAGGGAATTATCACAGTAATTTGGAAAGCGTAATTCAAAGACTACGTGATAATTTGCATTCTTTGAGATGGCGAAAATAAATACAAAGATTAATCAAACAATGTCACTAAAGAAACGTAAACAAAACATAAACTAAACAAAAAATTAAAAGGAAAATTATCACATACCTTTTTCTTTGTTTTGCCTCTTAGGAGCTCTTTCACTTGATACACCTTACAGCTGTGTGCAGGCAGTCGCTTGCAGGTTTGGATATAGAGCTTCTTCAATTGCAGCTCTGACTCGTATACTGACGTGTGGAACAACTTCCGCTTTTGCTCCTGCAACAGAGGAAGAAGAAAGTTTGAGCACAACCGTTCCAATGACTCGTATACTCACTACTTCTTATAAGTTACTCGAATATTTCGACAATCACGAGAACTCAAATTTATTTGTTCGACGTTAAAGAGATAATTTTTAGTAGAATAGAGACCATAAAGCAAAAGAGATGCAAAATAGTGACAGTCTTTATCTACAAATTCATGAATACATAGTCACCAGACAACTAAAAGAACACATGGAAATTAATCGTAATTTGCTCTTCAACTTAAAATTGCCTTAACTTTGATATCAGTGTATTACCACGTAAAAAAATTCTATGAATAATAGCATCGTAAAGCTGCTGCGGTTTTAAATTAATTGATTTTATGTATTATATATAACAAATTTCCAAAAAAATTTAGAATATTACATTTTAGAAACGACTACTCTCAAGTGGTTATAGTAATATGTAAACACAATAGAATCAAAAGCAAAGTCCGCGCACACTACAACTACACAAACAACTGTAACTTTATTACATTATTAGAACTATCCCCGGAAGCACACAGTTTCGCCCAAACGTGCACCGCAATTCACCGCTCCCGCGACCTCCGAGTTTGCACTTGCCGGCCCTCTCTCCCCAATCTGAGGCTTTGGAGGCGGCGGCGGTGTCGGTATTGAGAGGGATATCCGCTCGGCCGGCACCCGCGGGCGCAAACTGTCGGCCGACCGCACGCGGCGCCGCGCGGCGCGGCGCGGCGCGGCGCGCCGCCCAGCCAATCCCAGGGGAGACAAAGGACGTCAATTGCGGAAGGACGCGGGCGGGGGCGGGGCCGCGGGGCGAGGGTTTTTCGCGCATTTGCATCCGCCCGCCCGCCCGCCGTCAGTCGTGTCCAGTGGTGCGGTGCCTCCGACCGCGCCTTCCCCTCCCCTCCCTTCCCTCGAACAGCCGCCGGTCGCCATTTCCTTCCAGCCGCCGGCCGCCATTTCCTTCGCTAAGAGGCGGGCTCTCGCGCAACATGGCGGAATAGCCACCTTCTCCGGGAGAATGAGTGTCGCGTTCGTCTCCGTAGGGTAGACGAGCGGAGGGGGCTCGCGACTTTACGACCTTCCTTCTTCTAGGCAGGTCATCACGGAGGTGCACTGCCGATGCTCTCCACCTATGAAGGAGCGGAGGGGGTGGAATACTGGATGGGATGGCTCCTCTGCAGAGACTCTGACCGAGAGGGGCTAAGGTTTGAGGTGGCGGAACTTCGGCACTGGCTAAATAATTAGATAGTATTCAGCCGCTGTCTTGCAAGAGTTCTGATATACTGCTGCACTGATCGGTAGTTTTTTCCGACAAATCTTAGGCGAATGCTAGAGAAACACTCTAACAATCGGACCACGGACCGCTCGGGATATTTCCTTTCTCATCTTCGCCCCTCTTTTCCCCTTGCACACACACACACACACACACATACACACACACATACACTTACACGCACTCCACTGCCTAAAGTATCGAGAGACCAAATGGGAGCTTAGAGCTTGTACTGCTGGCGGAAGTAACTGAAGAGGGGAGAAAGAGCCGCAAGTGCACCTGTAGGTTGACGCCGAATCTTTCGTTCTAGTGGGAGAGGAACACACCCACAACATGTACGACACACACGGGAAATGACCGTAGTAGTTGATGTGAATTAAATTGAAGGGTGTTCGACGATATCCACACTTCCGGAAACAGAAAATAACTACCAATCAATTAATTGAGGGCTAGTTTGAAGAATAAATGATGAGAGATGAAATAAATTGGACGAGATGATGTTTACATACGTTTCGGGGTGGCATTAGATCGTCACTACTCCATAACGCATGCTTTATACCGCATTGTGGACACATTGTGGGGCGTTGGACTCCATTACTATGTGCTACCAAGGCCTGCAGGTAACATCTAGGGTGGGGATTCCCAACCGTTTTCTCCCATCGACTCCTTAAAAGAATTAATGCTCCATCAACCCCTTACATCTTTCTACAGTATACCAAATCATAACATAAAAGTGCAGATAAAGTACTTATATTAAACAATTTTGTACGCCAATATTTTCGAAAATTCGAAAAATATTTGGATTTCCATAAACGCTTTTACTTCTGAAAAGCTCAGATTTTATAGTCCATCGCTGTGCATTGGTTACAAAATGTTCAGCGGGTTTTAGAACTGGCCATAACATTTTTCTAGAGCGTATTTTGGAGAAAATTTTCTTGCGCGTTAGAATTCAGATGTGAATACATAGTTATAATGACTTGAATTTTTTAACCATCTTAAGCAGTAGTGTATCTAGATTCTCGGACACCCCGATGCAGAAAGTCGATTTGGGGCCACTATCTGCGATTAATAAATGAAAAATATAAACATTTTAAATGAAATTCATGTAAGTACGGATGGCAAAATGGAGAAAATAAGCGTGGAGTGCAATTTCTTTTATTCTTTGCCGGTACTCGACAACAGGGGGCCTTAACATGGGCCACCACCTGTTGCACCACTGATTACACTCCTCTAAGTCCCTGATGAGCGATGAACGAATGAAGAGAAGCGGATTTGTAATTATTATTGTGTTTTGTTGCTTTACTCTCAAAAACAATTACGTATTTAGCAAGTTTATTAATATTTTTTCGGGAATTAATGAGATCTTGATTATACCGATTAACCGACGATTAATACTTAGCTATTTTGTCGACCCCTAGGATGCCGATACAGAGCCCATTGGGAAACCGAATACTTCCAAATCCGGTGGGAATCCAGGAATTTCAGAATGAAGATGAAACTAAACACTGTTACACTATGTTGACAACAATTGCTTCTAAAGACGAACTTTATGCATTCATCAGCTAATAATATGTGTGCCATTCCAATCACCTAAACTACATTCCAGAAGCTTCTCTCTTACTTTTGATTAGTACAAAGGTAGTAATTGTGCACAGATGAGCTGAAAATATTATTTTATTTTGAGCAGAAATCAAGTATCACATGTGCACAGACGAGCTGAAGTGAATACTCCCCTCTTTTAAACTGTATGCAAGTAATAAATGTGAGCAGATGATTTGAAGGGCGTACTCTCTTCTTTGAGAAGTACGCAAGTAATAATTGTGGACTAATGAACTGACCCTCCTACTCTCTTTTGAGAAGAGCCTAAGTAATGTACGCAGAGGAGCTGAAGGGAGTAGTTTTCTCTTTTGAGTATAAGGCAAGGAATAAATGTCGCAGGCGCCGGTCCGGATGACCGACATCGTTACGGCAGTAGTGCCGTAGCGATCTCGTACTGAAGTATCGCGGGTTTGGGTCCCACCTCGGGCATGGTTGTATTTGTGTTCGTCCTTTCACCCCCTACCATTACCATATCATGCCACCTTCACAGTAACCGGTAAAAGCAATAATGGCTAATGGCCTCGATGTTGATGCGACCTCAAATACTACCCCCCCCCCAAAGTGCGCAGACGAGCTGGTGACTAATATTCTCCTTCGAGCAGTCCGCAAGTAATACTGTACGCAGATGAACTGAAGTGAGAAGTCTCGTCTTTTGAACAGCAGGCAAGTACTAAACGTGCGCAGACGAGCTGCAGTAACAATTCGCCTCTCTCCAGCAGTACGCGGGAAGTGCTCGGTGGCCCGCTTCCCCTGCGAGGGTGGGGGGTGGGGGAGGGGTGGACTCGATCGCGGGGTGGTGAGCGCGCCGCTCGCCGCCGCGCGCGCGCACTGTGCGTGCGCCATTCAACGAGGCATGTTATACACCGCCTCGGCCGCCCCGCTGCCGCTGCGCTGCGCCCGCCCCCTTACCCACCCCTCGCCGCATTGTGAGAGTAATGGGCGTAAAGCACGGGTGAGCGACCGCGGCGGCAGTGGGGCACGTGTGGCGGAGACAATGGAGGAGCGCGCGGCGGCGGCGGCGGTGTTCAGGGTTGTGGTGGTGAAGGCGGTGGTGACGAAGGGCGCGATGGAAATGACGAAGGCGGGGATGGCGATGGGTAGACGAAGCAAGAAATGACAATGACGAAGCGGCGATGACGGTGATGAAGGCAGGAATGGCAAGACGCAGGTGGCGACGAAGGCGGGATGACAGTGGTGGTGGTGGTGGTGGTGAGGTCTGTGATGGCTTAGGGAAGGGAGTACGAAGCCACAGGTGGTCGGTGTTTGTACGTTTCTATTGGTCCGACGGCCTTCCCTCCGCTCCGACAGACACCCAGTCCGGCTGCAGGGCGCATCTACCGGCTGCTGACCAAGCGAATAGTGTGTTAAAAGCTAACAAGTCTTATTGACAATAATGAGGGTTTAATCATTTGATTTTCAAACTGGACAGATGACAAGGAGCCGACTTGACGTTACAAGTTTCATGCGATCAAATGCTACTACTTAAAAACATACTTATGAGATTCTGAAATCGATTTTTTCCATACTTTATTTATTTGTTTTAGCTATTATGTGTCCCGTAAAATATCAATTGACCTCCTAACTAATACAAGATATTTAAACTCCACAAGGGTTGCCTTGTAATTGGGTTTACAATATTTTTTTCTTGTACATGTGTGTTTGTTTTTGGTTTTAAAATTGCAACTTCAAAGATACAATTTTAAAATATTCTGATCTACTTTATTTTCCCATAAGTGCAACACATATGTAATGAAATTCGGTGGCGTTTCGGGCGTTTCCCCCGACCGCAACTGCGTGTCATGGCCACGCACCTCATGGCGCTTTACGAGCAGGTGGACGGCACCGCGGGAGACTTCCTGCGTCGTTGACTCTTTAATACCTCGCTTCTGACGCCCCCAACCCGATTTACTTCCCTTCCTACGCACACAATAACTGCGCCGTGTTTTGCGTCTATATATCTCGACGACGCCGCTTTATTGGTGTATGTTGGACGTTCACTTGTTTGATCGTTAATTGAAATGGTTAATTATATACAGTAAAATATGTACACATAAATTTGTATTACAATTTAATGTGTAAATGTTTTACTGTGTATAAATTAATAAGCATTTTATTATT